TATTGTGGTATGTTTCATACAAATTGTACGGGCATGAGGATTTTTGACAGTTGTTTGGCGCTTGACGCGCCAATTTAAGGACGGCATTTTAGGGAATCCCCTAATACCATGTTCTGACCGACATCGAAAACTTGTTTTCGTTGCTAAAACTGGTTTTCGATCTAAAACTTGTGTTTTCGTCCGTGTAAAATCTGTCAAACGAAAACCTGTTTTCGCTGAAAACAACTTGAAAACTCCCATTCCACTCGTTGCAATCGGTGTCCTTACTAGTTTTTTTCAACTATTTATCGAAGTACATGTCATATTTTATCATCTTTATACGCAATTTCGGATTTATTGTTAATTGGCTGGCCAAAGTAAAATAAGAATGAAAGTAAGAGGTGGCTAATGAAAAGAAAATGAGGGAAAAGCATTTTGATTTGGAAAACACTAAGGCCGGTTACTCAATGTCTGTTTAACACTAATCTTCGGTTAAACCTAGTTATCGACGTTACCGACTCCCTGTTATATGCATGGAGTCGAAGACGTGGATAACGATGTTTAACCGCAGATTAGTGTGAACCAGACATTGAGTAACCGGCCCTAACAGCCGGTTGAACACCCTTCATGCAGCGTTTTTGCTGCATTTAAAATGCAACATTTAGCACTTTCGAACATATGTTTTCGAAGAGCGTTCATGATATAGCATTTAGCAAATGTACATTTACGCGAGTTCGAAATCGTATGCTTTAGACAAACAGCCGTGTCCCAGTCTCTTATTTAGATCCGTATATATTAAGATCAATTCTCACGCAGAAGATAATGTGCAAAAACCCTACTGAAAAGGAAAAAATAAATTTTAAACCAAAAAATCAATATAAAAACTTGAATTGTTTTAACCATAACCGAACATTTGTTTGTGTATATATTCATTTGTCGGTGCTGTCAATTAAAATTTCCTCACTTAATTAGGAAACAAACCAAACAGAGTTGATCACAAATTGATCCAGATTTCTATCAGCATCATATCGATGTTGAATTTGCTTAACTTTTCTTTATCCAAATATGTAATGTAAAATAAAAGAAATCTCGATCGGCGATCACTGAAACGCAGCTAGCAACTGTATACTCGAAAAAGCAATGTTGCCACTTTTTCTCTTTAAACCATGTTCGAATCGTGGAAATTTTGGAAGATCACAGGGTTGCTTTTAGCATTTAGATTCTTAATGCAAAAATGGAGTTGCATTTAGTTGCATTTAGGTGAGGAATTTTGTATGGATAAATGTACATTTAGAGTAGCATTTAGAGCTAAATGCGCTAAATGTGCTTTTACGCGTAAGCAAAAACAGCCCATCAGCCACAATCCTGAAACTCGTTTTCAAAGTGTTTTCATTGTCGGTGAGAACATGGTATAAATAAGTTTTGAGCCTCCGATACATGAACCAAAAAGAACCAAAGTTTTTCGTTCATGCCTCCGATACAAGTACTTTTTTTTGATTGCTACTTGGATCGTAGTAAGTCCCCTTTCAGACACGTCAAGTCTTGAAAGCAATTTTTATCGCATTCTCTTTTGTGTTTTCTCTTTGCTTCCACACGCATCAAGTTTTATTGAATTCAACTACTTGGTTCTTTAAACGGGAAGCAACGAAAAGATCAAGAGAACAAGAAAACTTGAAACGAATTGACGGTACGGAGGTATCTGTACTCTTCCCCTCTCTTCCCACCTCCTTCACCGGCGAACGAGCAGACTTGAAAGCAAGATTTGACGTGTCTGAAAGGGGACTAAAATGCATCGAGGACTAAAATACTTGTGAAGTGAGAAAAGTATCGAGTATTTACTTGGATTTACTTGTATCGATTCATGCCTATATATTGTTAAGTATTTTTATCATAAATATTATAATGTGTGGAATTGCTTGTGGTATTAATTGTGAGATTAAAACAAATGAAAAACTTTTAAAGTTTTTGAAACGAAGGGGACCAAACTTTTTTTCTTGTCTCAAGATTAAGGTAGAAAATATATTTTTGGAATTTGGTAGTTCAGTTCTTTGGCAGCAAGGTGATAATTTGTGTTCACAACCTGTTCGACAAGGAAACTTCCTCATACTTTTTAATGGGGATATTTTTAACATTCCTGATAAGCAAAGTGCCGAATCTGATACCGAATGGTTAGCAAAGAAAATATCGGGGTGTACAAACGAGACGGATGTATGCCATTTGATCCAGTCTTTGCAGGGGCCATTTAGTCTAATAATTTTCCATATATATTCCCGTTCTCTGTATATATGTAGAGATTATCTGGGCCGCAACTCTCTAATTATTGAAAAGGAGGCTGAATTGTTTCGTTTTTCAAGTACTTCATGTAAGAATAGAATTTTTAGTATTGGTTTTGAAAACAAATTTGGTAAAGTAAAGTAAAAAAAGTGGTAAAAAAAGAGACGAACTAATGGAACAAGTGCAGTGGGGGTGTTCTGCACCTTTCTACTAGTTTTAATGGGTTGACTTTCCATTTCATCGGTTTTTGGGTGTTCTAGGAAATCTCTTCATGTATTTTCGGAACACATAAAGATAACCAACCGTTCAGCTATGGGAAAACTAAAAATGCAGACCGATAATACTTTTTACGCTGAATTCAACTACATACAGTTGTCCACAAAATAATAGGAGTGCGATATTTTGGGCTGCAATTTAGTTTGGCATCCCCGGAGTTCGGCATTAAGAAGGGTATGGAACGATAGAGGGAGTTCTCCTGATTGTAAATATATATACTTTTAGCCGCAGCAGACTTATAGTTTTTAAGTTATTTGTTGTTAAAGTTAGTAAATTGAACTAACCTCTCGACGCTATTTCACACAATAAACACTTTATTTATGTACACACTTCGGCAAAATAGTTGCATTAAAAGCCCGCACAATGAAATGTAAACATATTTTTTAAATTTATAATGTATTTTTACTAAATTAAGTAAGTTTTAACAATTATCACGCACTTATATATGTATACGCACATTGTGAATACAGAACTGTTGATTCAACCATGGTTTCACACTGACATTAGAAGGGTGCTGCCACATCTAACAAAATAACACCACACATCTAATAAATAAATATGTTTTTTTAAACCATATTTTAAAAAGTGAAAATTTTTAATAAAAAATCGCGCGATTTTTTATTAAAAATTTTCGCCTGCGGCGCTTTTTCCATAAAATCAATACTTCGATAAATAATGAAAATTTTTAATAAAAAATCGCGCGATTTTTTATTAAAAATTTTTGCCTGCGGTGCTTTTTTCATAAAAATCAATACTTCGATAAATAATGAAAATTTTTAATAAAAAATCGCGCGATTTTTTATTAAAAATTTTCGCCTGTGGCGCTTTCGCCGCTTGTACGCGGGGGATGCCAAACTAAAATTTTCCCTGGCTATACAACAAACACCATATAAATTCAGATTTTAAACTTTGTATACAAATTATAATAATTTTGCAATTTTTCACCCAAATTTCAAACTTTTTAATCAGAATCTGTAGAAAAAATTCTGGTTTTGTAGCACATTCAATTCTAGTCTGAAGAAGTGCAAGTTTCAAGCGGCTAAAAAATTCCGTTGATTTTTGGCAATTTTTTTGCTGGCAGTGTCCTCCATATAAAAGAAAATTGTTGTTGTTGTTGTAGCGGCACTACTAAGCCCCGCTTGTTTCGGGTCAACTTTTAATCATTATCGTCAAGCTCAACTAACGGTAGGCCCAGGAAACGAGCAGTTTCGATGGGGTCGGACCAAAGGGAGAGGGGTGTTAGTTGAGTCGGATTGAGCTGGCATGTGAAGAGGTGGTTGGTGTCGTGGGGGGAGTCTCCACATGCCGGACACTCATTTGGGATGTTTGGGTCTAGTCTGGACAGGTAGCTGTTTAGGCGGCTACAATATCCAGACCGTAACTGAGCCAGGGTAGCGCGGGTCTCTCTTGGTAATTGAAGCTCCGTCTCTTCCACAGGTGGTGATTGGGCTCCGATAACGACATTCCTAGGCCGGGAGTCGAGGTAGGTGGAGACAGACTCCCTATGAATGTCGTTGATCGCTCGTCTGTACGTCATTGGGTCCAGTGCCCCCTGACGTGCCTGGGCGGAGGCTCCTCCTCCAGCAGTGGTCTGTTGGGGTGTTCACTTCTGTGGCACCCCACAAGAAACTGCTTACAGAGCATCTTGTTGTGTTCCCTTACGGGGAGCACTTGGGCCTCACTGTGTAGGTGATGCTCAGGCGTCATCAGAAGGCACCCAGTCGCTGTCCGGAGTGCGGCGTTCTGACAAGTCTGTAGCTTCGTCAACTGCGTCCAACTGGTCCCCGGTGACCAAACTGGCGCAGCATAATTTAGAACCGGCCGGCCAATTGCCTTGTATGTTGCCAGCAACGTTTCTTTGTCTTTGCCCCAAGTGCTGCCGGCGAGCGACTTGAGGACCTTGTTGCGGCTCTGTACTTTGTTGACAACTGCGGTTGTGTGCGCGGAGAAAGAGAGCAGGCTATCAAAGGTAACCCCTAAAATTTTCGGGTTGTTTACCGTCGGTATAGGTGTGCCGTCGACGTGAATGCCTAATTCAAGCCTGACCTCCTTCGTCCAGGTGGTGAAGAGGGTCGCCGTTGATTTCGTTGGGGAGAGGGTTAGGCTCCTTGCAGTGAAGAAGCGAGAAAGGCTGGAGAGATAGTCGTTTACTTTTGAGCAGAGGTCATCAATTCCATTCCCAGACGCCAAAATCGAACAATCATCAGCGTACGAGATCAGGGAAACTCCTTCAGGTGGCTGGGGGAGTTTCGAGATGTAGAAGTTAAAAAGTAAGGGGGAGAGAACACCACCTGGTGGAACCCCTTGTTTTATTCTTCTTGGTTTCGAGGTTTGATCTCTGAAGATTACTGATGATTGTCGACCACTCATATAATTCGCCGACCATCGCTTCAGTCCCTGTGGGAGAGAGGAGGCCTCAATGTCTTCTAGCAGCGTGGAATGGCAGACGGTGTCAAACGCCTTTGACAAGTCCAGCGCTACTAGGACAGTTCTCTCACAGGGGCGGTTTCGATTTAGGCCACGAGTTATCTGGGTGTTTATGGCGTTAAGTGCTGTGCACTTTACGGAAGCCATGCTGATGTTTCGCTGGGGTTAGGTGGCAGGTGAAGTATGGGAGCAGCAGGGCCTCAAGTGTCTTCGCGACCGGGGAAAGGAGCGTTATCGGGCGATAATAGTCTCCTCTGTTGGCGGGCTTCCCCGGTTTCAGCAGTGGGACCACTCTCCCTGATTTTCACACATCAGGAATGATGAGGGTGGTCATAGACAAATTGAGGACCTCCGTGAGGAATGCTACCCCCACAGGCCCCAAATGTTTCAACATCAGCATACAGATTCCGTCGGGTCCAATGGCTTTGGAGGCTTTCGCCTTCCCGAATCTCCAAATTAAGTTCCCTCAAGCGAGGGTCCCCGGGGTCGACCTGGCGTAGGTGGTCACGCTCATTTGCTAGTACAGCTGCTTCAGCCCGGAAATTTGGGCGGACTTCCGCGATACGTCCGGACGGTATGAAGCGAGCTGCTGCGGCTGTGACTACCCTGCGAAACTGGCGTTCGCCAGCATGTACGTCTGTGGGTGTGGGGAGGGCGGCGAAGCTGCTCTCGGTAACTTCCGCGAAGCCGTTCCAATCAGCTTTGTTGAAGTTGGTGTAGGTTCGGTGATCCGCGGGAGCAAAGTCGGTGGGCTTATTGATCGAGATGATTATGGGCAGATGGTCTGATGCTAACGTTAGCATAGGTCGCCATGATATGCTATTTATCAGACCAGCGCTAGCAATTGTTAGGTCTGGCGAGCTGCTGCAGCTGCCCACAATCCTGGTGGGGGCGTCGTCGTTCATGGTGCAGAATGTCGAATCGTCTATCTGCTCAGCCGAACTGTTTCCCCTCCGATCATTGGCCAGGCTTGAGTGCCAAAGATCGTGGTGCGCATTGAAGTCACCTACTACCAATCGGTTTTCGCCTCTGAGTAGCGCACCTATGTCAGGGAGATATCCAGCCGGGCAGCAGGTGACAGGGGGTATGTACACGTTAAATATTTCGAGCTCGACATCGCCTGACCGGACAGCTATGCCCTGACATTCTAGGGTAGTGTCCCTTGGGTCGATGTCTTCTTCGATTAGCCGATACTGCACTGTGTGGGGTAGAATGAACGCTAGTCCTCCACCATTATCTCGCTCGCGATCTTTACGGAGCACGTTGTAGGCGGAGCAACCCAACAGAGTTGAGTTGCTGTGCAACTTCGTTTCGTGGACCGCAGCTATCAATATGCCGTGCCGACCCATGAAGACTGCTATCTCCTCAATCTTGCTCTGGAGTCCGTTGCAGTTGAGTTGGAGTACGTTCATATGCCTTGGAAGGCTGGTCGCGATACGGGGGGTGAGGGAAGTGTGGGGCCTCCCTTGGGCCTGTTGCGCCTGACGCAGTTGCTGTTGCAGCCTGATGGTAGGTGGCTGCGATATGGGCGTTGTCTGCGCCGGCGGTGCACTACAGCAAGGGGCGCTGTAGTTTGTAGTCCACTCGCGAGTGGTGCGTAGACCAGAACATAGCCGGAAGTGGCACCAGCCAAGGCATGTGTTGCATTTGACTGATGTCACACTCCGGTATATTCTGTTCTGGCAGATGGTGTGGGCAACCAGTAGCTGCTGGTTGACTCGCGCTCGCGAGTGGGACCGGTCGGTAGGTTGTGTGGGTGGGGTGTGTTGGGAGGTTTGCTGTTGCTCAGGGGAGCTTCTAGGGGCCGTGCAGGCTCTTCGGGTGCTGGGTCGCACCCGTGCATTACGCGAGTGGGTAACCGTGGAGGCTGATTGTGCCATTTGACTTGAGCAACAGGGAGCCACAAAGTTTGTGGTCCACTCCCGGTGAGACCTAAGGCCAGAGCAGGTTCTTAGGTGACTCCACCCGTTGCAGGAGTTGCACCTAACGGAAGTGGAGTTCGGGTGGAGTCGATTCTGGCAAACACAGCAGAAGTAAATTTCAGGTCAGGGGTTGGGCTCTACGCCCGCCCGGAGAAGAAGGATGCTGAACGGATAATGATTGGTGGATATCGCCGATCTAGACGGGGTTAGATCGCCGAAACAACAGCCCTTGATCGGGTGAAACCCGAGTCATTCCGGTACGTAGAACCGGCTGTCGTGGGAAAATTGTCGACATACTTTGTATGGAAAAAACGGTGTTTCACGTGTTTCAGCGTGTTTAACCAAAAAAATTCTCAAAAATCAACGGAATTTTTTAGCCGCTTGAAACTTGCACTTCTTCAGACTAGAATTGAATGTGCTACAAAACTGCAACCAGAATTTTTTCTAAAGATTCTGATAAAAA